CTGAAGAATCCCACGATGACCCTGAAACTCAGGGAGGTTAATGCGGTCTTACCTCCAAGAGCCATTTAGTCTTCACCAGGGACAAACCAGGTTCAACAGACCGCCAGCATCAGTCTCCAGTGGGCACAGGCGGTGGGTCCTTTGATAACCCACAGTTAATTACTCCTTGGGCCTGACCATTCCAGGTACTGACCAGGTCCTGGGAAAGTAACGAGAAACACAACCACACTTGGTGGAGCCCGTGCCATGCCGAGGAGAAGGGCATTAAACACATAAACCACACACTTGGTGCCAAGAGAAGCTCATTACGGGGTTGTAAAAACCTATACATTCTGTGTAGAAAAAGGGCAGTGTAAGCTCGGCGGTGGTGGCGCACGCCTTTAATTCCAGTACTCAGGAGGCAGAGGCAGGCGGATCTCTGTGAGTTCGAGACCAGCCTGGGCTACAGAGTGAGTTCCAGGAAAGGCACAAAGCTACACGGAGAAACCCTGTCTCAAAAAACCAAAAAAAGAAAGAAAGAAAGAAAAGAAAAGGGGCAGTGTGCTAAGAGAAGTAGCAACGTGAACTCAATCTTCATAAACTAATAACTAGACCACGATCCTCCCAGATTCATTTAGGGTTTGACGCTCTCTCGAATTCATTGCCTCCCAAGAATATTTCATCTCAGCCTATGAAGAAAGCCAATTGGGAGTTCTTAGCATATTTTGTTTAGGAGGGAAGGGAGCCTCCATAGACCTAAATCTATCCAGCTAGAAGGAATCTCAGCGGGATCTGATGTGGTCCTCTGTGCTTGGCTGAACTTGGCCGCTAAATGACTGACTGACACTTCTCGTATTTGAGACAGCGTCTTACTATGCACAGCCCAAACTTGCCTTGATCTCCTCATTCTCCAGCCTCAGCCTCCTCAGGCCCGAGATCACATTTTGAGCCACCATGCCTGACCCCTGGGGCTTTCAGAGCGACGGCTGTGAAGGGTACAGACTTGGGCTTTCCTGTTGTAAGTCCTCAGCACCTTCACATGAAGTTTGTGACAGGAGGCTGTGGTCAGCAACAGGGTGGTCAGAGGCTTGGGCCTTGGGTGGCCCAGAGTAGGGCAGGAGGGACGAGGTGACCTGGAAGCAAAGGCAGGAAATGAAAGCAGCTTCCTGATGTGGTTGTCCTGCCAGCGAAAGTGAACCAGGCCCCCAGGTGGAGGTGACAGGCCAGCGAAACTCCTCACCGCATTTCGGGACCTGGTGAGGCGGCCCACCTGCCCTATCAGCACCTTAATCATGGCTCCTGAGAGAGAGGTTTCCAAATGACTCGGCCCTGCTGCCCCAGGAAGGAAGTGTTCTGGGCTGCGAGTGGGGGCCTGTGCCTCCGTGTGGGTCAGGCCTTTGAAAGTGAGTTAGTGATGACCCAGCAGTGGGGGCAGGGCTGCTGACAGAGTGAGCCTGGCTTGGGGAGAGCGGAGGTGGAAGGACCATCTGGCCTTCCCTCACAGAGGCTCACAGTGGGAAATGCTGTCCTCAGCTCCCGTTAATCATGACAGACATGGCCAGCTCTGTGACACGGCACTGTAGGTCTTCTGTATGCCGTCGGATTTATCACTTTTGTTTCTCGGGTAATAGATGTTTTGAGAATGTTTCCTGTGTGTTTCCAAATTTACACCCTGCCTATCAACATCCCATCTACCAACCAGGACTCAGTACCAACCTCTACCGATGTCTGTATCCTTTTCCACCTCTGCACAGCTGTGGGATGTCTTTCTGTAGACTGAATATGTGTGGCTCCCACTGGATAGTAAATAAAGCTGTTTTGGCCTATGGCAAGAAAGCTTACAGCCAGGCAGGAAATCCGAGCCGAGATACAGAGAGAAGAAAGGCAGAGTCGGGAGAGGCGCCTGCCACCACCCGAGGAGCAACAAGATGCCAGCAAATCAGTAACACCACGGCCACATGGCAACATACAGATGAATAGGAATGGGTTGATTTAAGATGAAGGAGCTAGCTAGCAAGAAGCAAGAAGCCATAGGCCATAGAGTTTGAAATTAATACAAGCCTCTGAGTGATTATTTTATAAGCAGCTGTGGGACCTCGGGCTGGGTGGGACTGAGAAACTTCCTGCTACACTGCACCTTTGCTAATAGACTGTTCTTCTGGAATCTGAGCAGAACATCTCCACACCTCTGTATGACCAAAGCCTAAACAACCTCAAGGCCACCTCAGTGTCCTTTCTTCCACAGTCTCCAAAGTCAAGGGAGCATCTGCCTCACGTTGATCTAGCCCTTTACCTGTGCTTCTCACTCCCCACCTTATAGTCTAGTTACTGAAGATTAGACACTCTTACTAGCATGTGAGAGGCTCTGGTGGCAAGACCATTTGTGATCCACCCTAACCCTAACCCAGAGTTTGACACCCTATAGGTGTTTAATGATTATCTTTGATTGACTGAGTGGATGGAGAGAGAGAGAAAGGGGGAGTGCAGGCAGGACCCATGGAGGAGGGCAGGAGGCCCAGGAAAGGGCTGGAATTTTCTAGTTTACCATGACCCAGGCCTGTAGAACTCATGTTAGGGCTTCCAGCAAGGTTGGAGTTAGGACTTAGCGTCTGGGTGGAGGCTTTGGTCGTCAGTGCCCCATGATGATACTTGACAAATGTCTGTGCTTGTCCTCATGTGTGTGTGAGATGCAGTCCCTACCCCGAAGGGGGCTTGTGAATGCGCACAGTATCTGCTAAAGGCTGGGCAAGTGCGTCCACGAGTTACCCAGCTTCCTCAGATGGGGTAAGGTGGGCATTGACCCCACTCACCTCTGCTGCAGAGATGTCTGTGTAGTTGCCGAATGTTCCCTGCTTGATCGAAAACATTTTGAAAAGTTACGTTCACGTATTCACTGTGGGGAGAGGGTGAACACCGTGGTGTGTGTGGAGGTCAGAGGGTAACGTGGAGAAGTTGGTTCTCTCCTTCTACCGCATGGGTCCTGAGGATGAGACTCAGGCCGTCAGGCTTGGTGGGAAGTGCCCTGACCGGCTGGGCTGTCTCTCTGCCTTGATAGTTAACTATCACAGTGCCCGGCTCACAGGCAGACTCAATATTCAGCATAGTTTGGTGAAGGGATGGATGAACACATGCATGGAAAATGAATCAGTAACCTCTGGGGTTTACCTCCTGGGGCTGAGGCTGTACCTCAGTGGTAGGAGGACTTGCCTTGAAGGCTTGAGGCCCTGGGTTCGAACTCTAAAAACCTAAACAAACGAACAACCAAAAACTAAGCACTCACGTGAAATCTTAGTTCCCATTAAGCAAGGGGCCTAGGTAAGGAAATGAAGAAGGCAGGTGGAATTCCTCGGGCAGTGATGCGATCCCACAATCCTCCAGGGTCCTCAGCTGGCCAAGACCAGTTATTTCTGAGACCACAGCCAGAGTATCATGGGATGCTCAGCTTCACAGGAGGGCGATTGCCTTAGTTCACCACAAAACACCTAGCGCTTGAGACTTCCCAGACGTGGCATGGAGACCAAACCCCATGACCCAGCCCAGTGCCTAGAAAGTGAACTTGCTCTCCTGGAGGCAAGCTCTGGTCAGCTGCAGAGGGGACTCTTTGAGCTGGACAGTGGGGAGAGTGGCTGAAGTGAGTGGCTGAGGGTGGGGAAGAAGAAGCCTGCGATGGTCCTCACCAGCTCCCTACCTGGGTTCTTGTCTGAGGCAGGCTAAGTTGGAAAGACGTCAGAGAGAAAGTCTCAGAAATTTGCAGTGGCCCCAAAGGCTAAAGCAGGGCACCTCTGAGACCTATGACTAGTGAGCTGTGAGTGGTGGGTGCCAGTGTGTGTGTGAGAGAAAC